CAAGCTAATGATAACACGGATTACACCGAGAAAAAGTCAATTTTGCACTAAAAAAAAAATATACTTCCAAAACTAAGAGCCAAATATAATAAAACTTCGTTTTTAGTTTCTTTCTCTGGCGTCAGGATTTTTTTAAAGGACTTTGAAATTTCAAAGAATTCCAAAAAGTATTTAAAAAATTCAGGGCTATATAGAATAACTATATGGGTACCAAATAAAAGAAAAAATTCTGTAGAATTGAAAAATATAAAATTTTTGGTGTATAAGGACGAATAGGTATAGAAAATGTTCTTTTAAAATTTTGTCCTTAAATATTCTTGGAAATTTCCAGTATTTACTTAAAAAAAGATATATTAGGTATTAATATACACACGACCATTTCCTCGAATTTCGTCCTTCTACTTTAATAGCGTGAAAAATAAAAATTAAAAAAAAAATATACAAATTTTCAATATCAATTGTTCCTTGAAGCAAACAAATTTTATATTTTTAAATTCCAAGGAATATTTTCCTTAGTTTGATACCCATATTTTTATTCTAAATTTCACTGAATTTTTTAAACAAGTTTTGGAACTAGTCATATCTTTGAAATTTAAAAGTCCTTCTAAACAAAATCTTGACGCCAGAGAGAAAAACTTAAACCGCATTTTTACTTTATTTGGCCCCTAGCTCCGAGGGTATATTGATTATTTCGAGTGTTTTGAAATTTTTTGAATTTTTTTTTGAAGCCACGTACATAGTTTTATGCAGACGAGATGAGAATATTAGTCATACGCCATTTACGTACGTTCGATTTTAAAATTCTCGTGATAAATGGTAGATCCAATATGGATATGAAATTTTGTATTTTTAAAATCTGATTCCAGATTTGTAATCAGCGACCTTAAGAACGAACCCCCGATTTTAAAGTTGTAAGCGAATCTAAGTGATTTTAGTTTATTTGGCCGCCATATTGCGTCCGCCATTTTGAATTTCGCAAATCGGAAGGAAGTTTTAAAAATACGCCCGCTATATTGGATCCGCCATTTTGAAATTTGAAAATCGGACTCTAGAATCGTAATCAGTGATCCCAAAAACATTGAAATATGTAATGACCCAACATTTTTGCATCAGTTTTGTAAAACAAATTAATAAATATATTTGCTTATTTGCGTATGCAGCGTAATGACGCCATTTTGAATTTCATATTCTGTCACTTTACAATCGTAAGTAGGGAATCCAATCCCGCATAAAAATCGCAACCCCGCAAGCTTGCGGGATCGAGGTCATCAATTTGCGGGACTGAAAAAAAAATCATATTATTTCCTCTAAAGAGTTATATTCAAAATTGA